GATTCTAAAAATGTTGCTTCCGGTCATCCTATCTGCTGCAAAATACTAACATTTAAATTGTACTAAGAATGCCATCTTGATTGTAAAAGGATACCTCTCACCTATGAAAGTCTCCTTCTGAGATCAATATTCAACCAATATTCTTGGAGGGTTTATTCATCAGCTACAGGCCCACCGCCTCGCCGGCATTGGGATTCAGGGGCTTGCCTTGCAATGGCATGTCTCCTTTCTCCAAGGACGGGGACGAAGGGTTGCTCTGGAGGAACAGCTTTCCCGACGACACTCACTTGATTGTGGAGTGCCTCAGAGGGCTGTGCTATTCCCGATGCGCCCCCTTGCCCAGATTGCCCGGAGATATGGGCTGGGGTGTCACCAGTACCCTGATGATACCCACCTCTATCTGCTGTTGGGCGGCCGGTCCAACTCCAAAGATCTTGACCGGGCGCTACAGGATGTGGTTGGTTGGCTTAGGCTGAGCCGGTTGAAACTGAACCCATCAAAGACGGAGGTCCTGTGCCTGGGTCGGAGCGGACCAAGGATAGGGATCCCACTCCCGACCTTTGGTGGGGCTTCGCTGGTGCCAACACCGGAGTTAGGAGCTTGGGAGTGCTCCTGGATGCCTCCTTGACAATGGAGGCCCAGGTAGCAGCCACTGCCAAGTTGGCCTTTTATCATCTTTGGCTGATTAGGCAGTTAGTTCCCTTCCTTGAACGCAATGACCTGGCAACAGTGATCCATGCGATGGTCACCTCGAGGTTGGACTACTGTAATGCTCTCTACATGGGGCTGCCCTTGTCGCAAATCCGGAAGCTACAGTTGGTGCAAAATGCTGCAGCCAGGCTGTTAATGGGCCTTCCAATGCAGGAGCACATTCAGCCTGTGCTGAAGGCATTGCACTGGCTACCAATAGCATACCGAGTTCACTTTAAGGTGCTAGTTCTTACCTTTAAAGCCCTTTATGAGCAGGGACCTACATACCTGAGGGACCGCCTTTCCCCACATGTTCCCCAGAGAGCTCTGTGATCAGGGTCCCAACATCGACTCACCCTTCCCAGGCCAAAGGATGCCAGGCTGGCTACAACCAGGGCCAGGGCTTTCTTGGTGGTGGCTCCGCTCTGGTGGAATGAGCTCCCGGAGGAGATCAGGGCCCTGCGGGACCTTATGCAGTTCTGCAGGGCCTGCAAGATGGAGCTCTTCCACCAGGCGTTCAATTAGGAGCCGCCCCTGGGGAGAATGACCTGCCCCTGGAAGTCTTAAAGCAGCCTGAGCCACCCACATAATGTCCGATTGAGATCGACCATTGGGATGGCATGGAAGTTGAGCGCCATCTTAGACGTAATGTTAAACTGATATCTGTTATTGGAAATCGGATTATAATTGTTAATATTTTTATTGTTATGGTTTTAAGATTGCTATTTTATGCATTGTAGTTTTTATGTTATTGTAAGCCGCCCTGAGCCAGCCATGGCTGGGAGGGCGGGGTATAAATATAATAAATAAATAAGAACATAAGAACATAAGAGATGCCAATGTTGGATCAGGCCAAAGGCCCATCCAGTCCAACACTCTGTGTCACACAGTGGCCAGAAATACCAGTGCCATCAGGAGGTCCACCAGTAGGGCCAGGACATTAGAAGCCCTCCCATTTATTGGACTAGCTACCTACCACCTGCCCTACCTTGTCTTTATAATCCATGAGAAAACCATTAACGAAATTCTCAAATAGTTGCATCTTCTGCTAAATCTCTTGTTGTTTAAACTGTAAGCCAGTTCCTTCAGTGATAAGGCTGAAATGTCAAATTCTGAATATAGCCCTAAACTCTGTGAAAGATTGTAGTAACACTCTATATTTAAGTACAGGTTATGATACACAAGTATGTGTTTCCTACAAGGAAAAGAATGCCATGACAGGAAGTGTAGGTATTTTGGGAATGACCACAACTGCAACAGCACAAAGAAAATGGCATTGATCTATAACCATTGATATATAACCATTGCTCAACTACTAGCCAGAAATGCATGTAAAGAATTTTTAGGCTCCAACATGTGTAATTGTCATATAATCCTTGGTGTAGGACAGGTAGATGTTCCCTTTGAGCTGTGGGGTCTTATGAGCAAAAATTCTACTTTGTGAGCTACTGGCATTAAAGTTGTGAGCAACTGATTTGGCTACTGCATAAATTAATTAGGTCTGGAGCCATCCTTCCTGAATGAAGACAAAAATCTGTGAGCTAGAGGCTAAAAAACTGTGAGCTAGCTCACACCAACTCAGTTTAGAGGGAACACTGGTTCTAATGAAATGGACACCAACTGGATGGTGCCAGTAGCAGCACTGCAAGATGTGTGTCGAGTCATGCTAATATTAATGTCCTGCCACTGGAAAAATCGGCCCTGGACCTTTTCTCTTGGTATATCCTGCTGACAGCCTAGTAGGAATACTTGTTAGAATGCTATTTTATGTCATTCCTATATTCCTGTAAAAGGGATCTCAAAAAGCAATGTCCCACCTCTGATGAAACCTGGGTCTGTGTTGGCATGATTATAAATATCTGGCCTGCTTGACCTGGTGGATGCTATTTTAACAGTTTTAAATCCATTTGGGAGTCAGGAAGGCCTGTCATCCTGCAAGTCAAGTCACCCTCTATAATCTGAATACCTCCTACCCACATTCTTTTCTCTGTTGTCCTCTTATTCAGTTAAAAATTACACTGTATAGGAGCAGACAACCTTTTATGTATTGTCATTTTCTTTTCCTGCTGGGATTCCCTAAAAACATTAAGAGATGCTATTAGAGATGTGTCCGTTGACACTAAGCACACTGGGCACATGGGAGTCTAGTCTGATCTCCCAGGTAGAAGGCCATTATGCTTAGTACACTGTCAAAGAGAGAGACTCTTTTTGTCTCTTCATCTAAAGTCTGCCTAACAGCTGCATGGAATTGTGTGAAGCCGTGTGACAAAGGGTGCATTATTTATTTCTTTAAAACACTTATTACCCGCCTTTCTACCTTGTGGAACTCAAGGCAACTTACAATGTCAAAAAATAGCAATTATAATAAACACATGAACGACCATACTTTAAAATCTCAATTAGGAATGCCAATGAATAAAAACTAAATTAGACAAATGCAGTCCTAAATAAAACCATCTTCAACTGCCTCCTGAAAATCGAAACTGAGGGGGCCAGATGCACCTTCTTGGGGAGGTGGTTCCATCATATTTAATAAAGTTTGAACACCATATAGGATACTTGCCTTTCCACCATCTGAATTTATGTTCTGCTTTCCAGAAAATTTTGCACATCTATTTAACAATATCACTGCTTGTCCTGAATTCGTCGAGATTTCTTCTCAATCAATCAAAGAAGCAATATACTTGCTCAAAACATTCCCTGTCCTACTAGATATATGTTGGCAACTATCCATGTGTGACTGCATTGAAAAATTTGGTTAAATTTGCCTTGTAAAAGTCATCTGAGAACATCCTGAAAGTAATATGTGCATGGATCATTCAGAATGATCTCTGAATCTATGTTACACCATGGCCTGGCCTATGAGAAGGGGAAGAGACATTTAGTAATCTAGTTGACAGAAATTCTAATCAGGGAGAAAATAATTTGATCTAGAAAGGGAACTGAATCTATGAGAGTCATTAAATGCATCTTCAGTTGGCATGTATGTGTCCAGGGGACCAGTATATGATCTCTAATTGTGAAGCACTGAGAGACTGGTGCACAGTCTTTGCATTGGGATCAGTCACATGCTTGGGAGAGAAATAAATATAAGTTACATCAGAGGTCATTTCGGGGGGGAACGCAGTTCCCCCTGGTGAGGTACGGGGGCGGGGCACATGACGAAGCCCCGCCCCCTGCTTCCGGCCGCCCCGCTTCGAGCCCTCATTCAGCCAGGAGGAGGCAGGAGAAGAGGGAGGGTAAGTTGCTTCCTCCCTGCCTCTCCCCACCCCTGCCTACCTGGGGCCAGGGAGGGCCTTCGCGGGGCTTCCTTGCACTCCCGCCGGCCTTGCAGGTCCACCGCCGGGCCCCTCATGGGGCTCGGCAGTGGAGCTGCAAGGCCGGTGGTGGTGGCTGGGACCGTTGGGGGTGGGGTGTGTGGCCTTATGACACATTTCCGGTGATGTCAGGAGGTGTGGCCGTATGACACACTTCCGGTGATGTCAGGGGGTGTGGCATATGCTAATGAGTTATGCTAATGAGTTCCCCTAGCTCTTTTTCTACGAAATGACCCCT